TAACTTTTGGTGATAGGAGTAAACTGTTATCCATATTGAAGGCCTGATTAACACATAAAGAATCATTCCTAAAAGTATTGTTAAATAAACACTCACTTTGGATACTTGTTTCCCGGAGTTGGACAGTACAGTTGATTCAAACGACGTATGCATGGATATCCACGAATTATTTCTCCTCGAATTTCTAGTCCCAGAGTCAGAGACAAAGTGGCTAAAAATATCTGTGTAAAGAATTTCAAGATTGATTTTATTAAATGATATCCAATCTAAAAATTGATTAATGTTTTTTTAAACGTTGAGACGAAATTGAGAATTGTTTGAATAGACATTATTCACCCCATAAATTAAGGTTAACCGATTTTTCCACTTACTTAGTTTCCAAGATATTGGGTAAGAATAAATATCTTAACAATTATGGTTAACTGAGTTTTCTATTTAATTTCCAAGGCATTGGATAAAAATTAATATCTTAACAATTCAATAATAATGAAGTAGCGAATAATTTTTCTTAGTTGTTTTTAATTAACTGAACTTACTATAACTGCAGTAAGATATTCCTGGTCATATTTGATACATGTAATATATTAACTGTAGTAAAGTATACCTGGTCAGACTTAATAATATATTAACTGAATTTACTGTAACTGTAGTAAAGTATACCTGGTTCGACTTAATAATATATTAACTGAACTTACTATAACTATAGTCAAGTATTCCTGATCAGACTTAATAATATAGTAACTGAAATTACTATAACTGCAGTAAAGTATACCTGGTCAGACTGAATAATATATTAACTGAACTTACTATAACTGCAGTAAAGTATTCCTGATCAGACTTAATAATATAGTAACTAAGCTTCATATTAGCAATATAGTAACTGTACTTCATATTAGTAATATAGTAGCTGTACTTCATATTAATAATATATTAACTGTACTTCATATTAATAACATAGTAACTGTACTTCATATTAACAATATAGTAACTGTACTTCATATTAACCTATATAGTAACTGTACTTCATATTAACAATATAGTAA